AGGGACCCACCCGCGCCGCCAGCTATACCCTTAGGGGCAAAACCACACGAAATGCAATCAAAAACCACGCTCCCCCCCCCCCCCCCCCCCCCCCCCCCCCCGATAAAATTGTGCGAACAACAATTACGCCGATTTTAGAAAGAGCTTGTGTTAATTAAAAACCCTAATTGAAAAACACATTATTCGCCAAAACAAGACCTTACCTCCTTTACACCTGTGCAAGACCCGTAACAAACCGTGATAGTCGATTGATAATCAACAATGTATGACATAGAATATGACACAACAGATGATGAAGTTAGTCTGCCCACTTTCTCACAACTAGATGCCCCAAGAAGACCAGTAAACATACATGCAAGCTGGAAACGAAAAGCCAAGTCAAAAGAGAATAAAGTGAAGAAAGTGAAGCAAGAAAGGCTGTGCAGATTTAAAGGCGAAGCAGGAGAGGATCCGCAGTTGTGGATAAAGCGTTATGACCAAGCCGCCAACTGTAATAACTGGACGGACAATAAAAACCTAGGAAAAGTAGGTGTGTATCTAGAAGAAGCAGCATTAGACTAGTATGATGAAAATAGCAACCGTTTTACCTGGTGGGACGAGGAATACGATCCCAAGGAAAGTTTCGTGCCAGCATTCGTGGAACATTTCGTGATGCGCGAACAGCAACGGCACCAGTGGCAAGAGGAATTAGAAAACATATGGCAAGAAAAGAACGAAAAAGTGATTGAGTATGCCTATAGGTTCGCGAGGCTACTTGATAAAGTGTATCCTGAGGACAACTACCAGAAAAAATCAGTGGAATGGCTGCTTGCGACTGGATTAAAAAAGGACTTGTCATCCATTCCCGCTATCGCAAACGCAACCGACTCGGTGGAAGCAGTCAGAGCGGCAATTAAAGCTGAGGCTGATGCGGAAAAGAAAGCAAGTAAGATAAAAGAATTAGAAGACCATGTGCAAAAGTTACAAGATCAAGCGCGAAGAAAGAAGGTTGCGCCGGAACCGAAACCAACAAGAGAAGACCGAAGCTATCGGAAGTATGAGGAAGATTATGATGTCAGTAGCTACTGGAAGAGAATCGCTAAGGAGTACCCAGTGAAGGTCCAGATCTCAAATGATAAGACCAAGAAGGTATTAACTGACGAGATCAAGGATAAGGGACCTAACGGGAACACTTGGTGGAATGAAAGTCCGTGTAAAAAAGGGAAAACGAATAAGGACGAAGTATGGTTGATATCCTTTAATGATGATGAAGGGGAAGCATTACAAAAAGCGAATAGTAGTCCCGACTCCGATAATGAAGCACGACCGGAGATCCCGGAACCAGTCGCGTGGTCATTCCAATCGGAAGAAACACTGCCGGTGACCGAAAGGGATAATGAGGTCAATAAAACTGAGGAGCAGGGTGTTAGTGAGCCAGAAGATCGATATGGGTCAATAAAAGAAATGATGGTGAAAGAACAAGATGTCACGGTGATGAAAGAAATGCTGATAACACACGAGAGTCAGGAAAAGATTGACGAAAAGGAAGATGATAAATCGAAAGGACAATGTGAGCTGATAAAAACAACTGTGGAAGAACTAGACACCGGGCAAGGAGAAGAGCTGCCAATACAACACAAGAAAGATGAGGAAAGGATAGTCAAGAAAGAAACGACGCTTACGATCACGTGGGAAATAAGGACGCCAGGAGATAAAACTTCTAGATTTCGTAGCATCCCTGAGTCGTAGCAGCGACTGATAGGAATATTGGCGCGAAGATTCAGAAGGAAGTTCATGAAAACCTACTCCGATATCTTCGTAAAGCTGGCACTTCATACGATGACGACCATTTACAGGATGGCCTGGACAAAGGATCCTGCAAAAACACTCTTGATCGAGCATGAGAACGCGATCAAGGATACTGTCCAGAAACCTGAGTGCGATATAGTGCAATATAATAAGGACGTCCCGAGCAGTCGCACAACACAGCAAGAAGTGAAGAAGGAACCGCAAGATTGATTTAGACGAATAAAAACAGCATTAGCAGAAAAACAAGATGTCGTTTCAGTAGATCAGCCTGTAGAAGTATGTGATGGAGATCGAATCGCGAAGAAGATGAAAGCCAACGATGACCTGGAGGAAGAACAAATAGCAAACCAAGATCAGGATACGTACGCAAGACTAATCCAAAAGATAGGGAGCTCTGAGGTAACGCGACAAATAGTTGATACCGATGATGACATCCCGATAAAATGAAAGCTGTACAAGGACAGTTCGGATATGAGAGGATGGATCGTGAAAGGAGAAATGATGTCAGTAATTACTTGGGAGACGCACGCACCGGGCGATGAAACGTTTAGGCTGCGTAGTATCATGGCACCATGGAAGCAACTAATAAACACACTCGGCTGCAAGTTAAGAAGAAAGCGGATAAAGGCGCACTCCGAGGTCTTCGCAAAATTAGCACGTTGCATGATGATTATGATTCGTAAGATGGTTTGGACAGAAGGTCCAGTAAAAGAACTCCTAATCAACGTGACTGGGAGTACCATCCTGAAACCTGAGTGCGAGAAAATGATGCGATACACCTTTGATCGCGATAGTGATATCCCAAATGATCAGGAAGAGCACGAGACCGTACCAACCCCAAGGAAATCCACCGACGGAGTATTGATGACGATAACTAATATAGAACACTCACTTGCATGGTATGATACCGGCAGACGTAGCCACCTGCTTGTGATGGGCCAAAAACGAACAATCACACCCTGGCGCAAGACCATGGAACCATGGATAGCATGGAATCTAAATACGGCTGTTATCGAAGCTGAGCTCAATAACATACCCATGACCGGAGAAGTGTGTGTCGTGGTTAATGCAATTCATACAAAGCAAACAAAGGTGAATGTGTGGCGAACAAACCAGTCTGTACGAAAGCCCCAGAGTATCCACTTGTCATGTGATTCAGAATAGAAAATCGGAGAAGACATCAACAAATCAACCACGCCAAATCCAGTGAATGCGCATGCCAACGATGCTAGTGTAAGACGAACCAAGGCAAATGAAAAACGAGTTAACCAACAGATAGAAGTGTTGCGGGATCCTGGCATCTTTCATCACACAACACAGCAATTCGGGAAGGCCAACCAAGCTACTACAACTGTCAGTGTGCACAAGATAGCATTCAAGGAAACAATAGATGACGCCACCTACCATAAAAAATTTGATATAGGAAGACTAGCCAAGACAGAATGCCAAGATACCACCAATAACAACAATGGAGACGAAAAGAAAAAGGCACGTCACAACTATAATCAAGACCTAACAGAACCATCCAACATCAGGAATCAAGTGCTGATGTACCGTGCAGCACTAGAAGCCCCAAGATGCAGTTAACACGCCAAGAATGGAGTGGCCTGTATTACGTGCAGGTTATACTTACCCGAGATACTTACAAGCCGTGGACTGTTGGTGGACAAGTTCTGGCAAGCCCCATCAATCCGAAAATCCGGAAACGATATTTTGAACCTACGGTATGGAATGATTATATGCGCAGGAGCGCATAAAATAAGCGTGGGGGAAGTGTTAGCATGGAAAAATGTATGGGTCATTAGGATCACCAATAGTCACGTGACATGGCGCGATTCATCAGACCTTGCATCAAGAAGCCTAAATAGTTTAATCGGGGATTTGCAGGATGCGATGGTATATCAGCATATGCGTCGCAGCGGGTATAAATATAGGTGGATTAGCTAGTTAAAATAGAGAGTTAGTAGTCGTATTGTATAAACTTGTA